GACTTGGTCACATTGAGCTGAATTTGAACCGACTGCTGATTCTGGCAGTAATGATGGTGCAGATTACATGTGTATACTCCTCGGTCACTTTGCACCACATCTGGTGGAAGAAGATACCACAGTTCATACAGATTAAATACCCCGAAAAGTAGTGTTTGTTTCAAAAGACATTAGACATGTTTGAAGATAACGGACAACTATGTAGCACTCACTTGTGGAGATAAAGCGTTAAATACTATTTTTCAACAAATCAGATTTACAGATTTTTTTTTTTTACAGGGGCAAAAAAGCTGAACGCTACAAACACAGAAACGATGCAAACAAACACACACACACATAAACAACTGCAAAAAAAAGTGGCAAATAGCAAAAACACACCACGCCCCAAACAGCTACGAGAGAGAACTATGCTGCAAGTTGACCCTTCACACTAGAAGTGCGGTACTATGTGGGGATGTGACCAAAAGGGATGGACCAGTCCTTTTTGTTTTGTTTGTCATTCCTGTGTTTGCAGCTTTAGAATAATTGCAGCATGTTTGGCCCCATCAGCCACCACATAAAACGATTCTGAGTGACATACTTTGGACTCCTGGCCACAAGGTACAGAACTTTGTATGCACTTAATCAATAATTTTGGGGAAAATCCCTTTTTCCCCCTCCAATTCAGTTATCCATGGACTTTCATGATTTGCAGGCTGGGCTGGTCCACTGTATTCTACTCACCGCTGCTTTAAGCGAACATATTATTAGCGACTCAAACATATAGCTGTTTGTAGTTAATGTGTAGGAACGAACGAGGCCAGACAAAGTAGCATCCATTTTTTGGGGTTGTAACAGTGGTATTTGACTGATGAGTGGAGCGTAGTTTCAGCGAATTAAGAGGACAAAACCACAGCATTTGAGAGTGGAGACAATGTCTTGATTCTTTTTTACCATTTTGAAGCTGCATTTGGTAGACTTGATGATCATTTTGAATCATTCAAATTTAGGAGGGCTGTTCAAATCTTCTCTTTGGTGCGCCAATTATGGATGACATTTATTTTCACTTTCCAGGGTCTTTAATAATGAAATGCTGTGATGGCAGAATGGTTAGTACTGTTGCCTAACAGTACACCATTTCAGCTCAGAGTTCAAAACAGGTCAAGTATATTAGAATATGCTCAAGAGTGACTTGCCTAGAGTTGCAAATATAAATGATTGTCTCTAAGACTGGTGTCAAAATCAGGGCCAGTAGGCCTGCCTGCGACATCCTTTTAGGTGACCCATGAAAGCTTGCACAAGTTTTGCTCGACTTCAACTGAAAACGAGTTATGTATCCTGAAAATGAAACGAATCAAATGCAGGGGCAATTGTATTACATATTAGGTAAGGTTAGTGGCCTAATACACCATCAATTGTCCACTAAAAGGAGGGATGAGGGGATAGGGTGAGACCAAGTCTTACTGCTGATGACTAGGGAGAAGTTGCCATCTTTGAATGCAGAGCCCGGAATGGAAATGCGACCCTTGTTGAAGTTGTTGTAGACCCTCAGGCGGGCCCCCGGGGACATATCCAGGACCCGTTCCACCGAGTATTTGGGAGTATTGCGCATCACGTCCCAGTGCACCACCCTCTGACGGTCCTTCAGTCTGTCCTGGGTCCACAGCATGCGAGGGCTGTGGCAAGGCAGGACGGCTGTACTCCCGATAGGGAGCGTGATGTTCTGGGCTTCAACCACCACACCCAGTCTGCTGTTGGTGCTCCTCTGAGCCCATGCTGATGTCAGACACAAACACACAGCCTAAGAACACCAATCATGACAAACATGAGCTCCTGGCAAAAGAACTGCTTTACCTTCTGGCAGGAGGAGCACAGCAAGAACTGCAACAGACACAGAAAGAGGCTAATTAGGATAAACCTTTCCTGCTGTGGCATCAGTTTTGCCTCTCATTCTTCATTTTGACCTGAGTTAGGAGTCAAGAGACACTGCAAATTGATTTGGCTGAAAAAAATAAACTGCGGCAAAATAAGGAGGCGGCTTTTGACGGGAGGTCAGAAATATTCTCCTCAAATATATTTTTTTCCGTTTGTGTTTTCCGGCTTTGTGTGGCAGTTTTGTTTACTAAAGGAGTGTGTTTACTGAGGCAGAGGTGGATGAGATGCCCACAGCAGCTTTATTCATGCGGGCTTCTGCTGGCCCGTCACCGATCTGCGATCTTTAGGGGATGAAGAAGGTACGTGGCTGCCGCCGGCATCTGGTGGTGCTGTTTTATTGCCTCTGCCTGCACTCAACACCCGGGTGTCTGCCTGACAACACTACTTTGTATCACAGTGTACTGAATGGGCAGATTACTTTGAGAACATTGAAACGCAAACTATTCCTGAGATGAATTTGTTTCTAACAACTACAAAAAGAGGATTGGCTGCAACAACTCCAAAAACCTCACTGAGTTGTTTCCATTGCGTACAGCAGAGGACAATAAATGCAGTGAACCTGCAAATGGGGTGGTGGGACCCTGCACCAGCTTGGTGATAGCAGCGAGGTTGACCAGCTGGTGTCTTGGTGGTGTCACCAGCTACCAGCAGGGCAACAACAGCATATTGCTTTGGCTCAGTTGTTTGCATGGGTTGCCTAGTGACTGAAGGTTTGACTGTTCCAATCTTGGCTGTTTTGTTTTGCTGCTGCTGCTGTTTTGGGCCTAATGGTGACATCAGCAAGACCGGCACGAAAACACAATAAAACCATGCTGGTATGTGCTGTTGGGTGTTTTTTAAGCAGGACATTGAAAAGGCTGGGAAGTTTGATGACAACCCACAGTGGTCAGTGTTGCTTGAGTGCAGGTTGGTTGCTAGTTGCACCATAGCCTTTTGGCAGATGACAAAAGTCCATGTGTGGCTTAGTGAGGTAGAGGTAAAACTAAGTGTTTCATCCCAGCACCTTTAATTTGGCACTTGCACTCTCCAGAGTGAGTCATGAGGTTGGTTTAACAATGCGTTACTCAAATCACCAAAACCAACCATTTGCCAATTATTTGACGTTTAAACCTGGTGACAATTTGCGACCGCAGCAATCAGATAAACATCACCCCTGCGGTGAAGCCAAAATGTGCGAGTCAAATAACAAGTATGCCTTTCCTCTGCACATTTTGTGTGATTCATGGATATCAGGGCTGTGTCAGACGTTTACTCATTGCCACATCACAGCAACCGAGAAAAAAACCTGTGCAGCTGCACATTTAGACACAAGTACAAAGGCCCCCCCAGCGGCTGCTGTGGATGTTTTCACAACGATGCGGATGGAAGCCAAGTATTACACGTGATTTATCTTCATAAATATTTTTTTCCCACCTAAACTAATGAGTTATAGAATTAGCAACAGAAATGCTTTTGTTAAAATGATAACATTATTCAAAACTGTAACCGCATCCAAATACAGTACACCCATCAATCCATTCCTCTATAGGCCACCGCTTTTTGAGGGTCAAGGGTGAGCTGGGGCCAATCTCTGCTGACTGAGCCAGAGGCTGGGTATGCCCCGGACTGGTCGCCAGCCAATCACAGTGCACATATAGACAACCATTCACACCTAAGGACAATTCCGAGTCTTAAACCTACAGGGAGAACATGCCAACTCCAGAGAGGAAAACCGAGATTAAAAACCTGAATCTTCTTCGAACTGTGAGGCAGATATTGCGCTCACAAGTAGTCCACAATGCTGCCCTGAAGGTTGGCACTTTTAGCAATTTCATGACATCACCGATTACCTAAATTATACAATTATTTTGCTGAGTACCCCCAAGGTACGGTTCGCTGACCCCTGGGACCTTGATCGGAGAATACCTGCTGAACAGTACATATTTAAAATCATACAGTTACTCCTATCAACCTTAGCTTTGGGCCAATTAATAGCTCTGATATTAATATGACGTACAGTATGACAAAAAACTGACATCCCTGCATGAATGCAGCCTTTCTAGCTAGTGGTGATGGAGTCATATCTAAAAAGGGTTAATTTGCTATACAAGGACCTTTTTGTTAAACTGGCGGTAAATATTTTGGTTGGAAAAAACTATAGCCTTTATGGGTTGAAATGATAGTTGTTTCATTGTGTGAGCATGACGAGGGGGTCCCTTATCTTCCCAGGATCCTTTGAACAGTTACTTCAATAAAGAAATAATGGTTGAGCCCCCCAGTTCCACATACTCGGCACCCGCGGGGAAACGCTCATTAGCGACACACATTTCAATGAGGGGCGCTTGAAAATGCTGACTCCTCTGCTCACGCCTCATCTAACAAGAACCACATTGGGCCAAAACCATACCAAAAAAAAAAAATCCCCTGGGCCAAGACGACTCATTTTTCTTGGCAATGTGCAGTTCATGTCCAGTCTTTGTTCTGCCATACTGGACATTTCAGATGGAGTACTTACCCAGATAATACAGTAAAAACTAACGGTGATAAAGTTGTACAAAAATGGGCAACATTCTGACTAAGTGTATTTTTTTTGTTAGCTTTCCTTCAAAAATATGGAAAAAAAAAACACCGCACACCGAAGAACAGAACTTGTCGGTTCACCGCACACCGAAGAACAGAACTTGTCGGTTTAGAATCTCAGTTGGAATGGACCTCGGTTCATTTCATTTGCTTTTTTTTTACGCAAGAAAAATGAACTTACCTGGCAGTAGAGTCTTAAAGACGTGCATGTCGAGCACTGAGGGGACAAAAGAAGTTCAGAGACGACCAAGTTCTATGAGGTGCGTGTACTTGTTTTCGTCAAGCACGTCTGGATGCCGAATCGCAGTCTCCAGACGCCCCGCCCCGCCTCCGCAGCAAATGAAACCGAACAGGGGTAAAACCAGAACACGTTCACAAACTACACTGACGCGACCCACAAATAGGCCTCGACACATTCGGAGTGGATGAAGAAACAGCATCGCAGTACAACATAGTTTGTTTGTGTGTGTGTGTGTTCAAAACCAACATGATTTACAGTATTTGATTTTAATAATCACACACTCACAAATGTTTTACCAATTTAATTTTCCGAGCAAGAAAGTTTAGAGTACGGCCTGCCGAATGAAGGAGTTGTGGTAATTGTGGTAGGCATGCTTCTCCCTTGCAACAATACCGCCACCTACAGTATTCAAGAGGAACTGCGCCTGTTGCTCAACGAAACCACAAGTACATTGAGGACTGCACAGATACTCAATGTTGAAACATGATTTTATTTTTAAAACAGCAACAACAAAACAGGGAAGATGGTCGAACAAGTTGTCTGGTGTGAAAAAAACGTGAGTGTCAGTCCTTTCTGTTTCCGTGTTGTTTTATGAAGAGTTTTGGTGTACTCCATCCCTCTGGCGCCTTCTTCAGACCAGCACGCATCCAAATCCTTTTCAAGTCCTTCTCAAAACGCTTCTGCACAAAGCAAAAAAGCTTTTTTATTGATCAATTTCTTCATGAAAACAAGAAGTTCTCTGAATTTGCTTAAATTGGATTCTTGTGAATTTCCCTTTTTTTCAAATTAAAAACATCAAAAGAACACTTTCATTAGTATATTCAAATGAAAAGAATTTGTTTGTGGAAAAATACATTTCTATGTGCAAATTGTTCAATGTGTTTTGTCATACAGTATGCTGGGGGAATCTTATTCTTTAAAATGTATAAGTTGAAAAAAAAAATCAAACTTTTATAAAAAATCCACTGCAATTTATTCATTTATTTTGATCACTGCCTATAAAAGTCGACACACCTCTGTTCAAATGCAGGTTTTTGCGCAATAAAATAATGAGACATAGATCAGTTATTTCTCAACTTTTCCCACCATTAATGGGGCCTTTCAATTGCAAAGATGTTTATCGTTGCACAAGTGTGCAGGCCCTCTTAAGAAGTGGCTGTGTTCAAAATTACCAAAGTTCACACCCGAAATAAAGTTCAGTTGTTCTAATCGGCTTTACCCGGCTTTATTGATTTATGTTGCTTTCTAGCAGAAGACTGAATATTTTGTGATAACACTGATGGGTATTTGGAAACTGTTCAAAATTCTCAGCACTTATCTGGAAAAAAAAAAAGCTGCCCGCAAGGCCGGTGACATGTCCAGCATTCTGCAGGTCTGGTGCTGATTTGGTGAAGACGAGTGTTGTTTTAGCACCAACCACAGCTTTTGGAATTATGGCCCAACATTTGCTTGGCTTCATCAAACCGTAACACATTTTGCCAAAAGCGTTTAGGAGATTTCAAGTGTGTTTTGTTGTTGTTGTTGTTGTTTTGTAGACTGCCACCCTACCCCCCAAGTTTAGACATGTGAAGCAGACAGGTGATGGTTTTTGACATGTACTGAACAGCCAATACTTGCCAGAAATTCTTAAAGCTCTTTCAATATTTCTGGCAGACTCGTGGCAGCCTCATTAACGTGTTTCTCTCTCTCTCTCTCTCTCTCTATCTCTCTCTCTCTCTCTCTCTCTCTCTCTCC